TCTTGCTCCCTTCTTGATTTATGTTAAGCGCTCCAACTCTGTGTTGTGGTTTTACACACGCACAGTCCTGATGTATCTTTCACTAGCCCTAAATCGAACTCGGAGAGGCAGAATTCACTGTCCTCGACGTTGGAATCCTAGAAACCATGGGATCTTCATTCTAACATGCACACTACCTGACTGGTAAGAAGACGGGCAAACGCGACGAGGAAATGCTGCGTCAAGGCAGTGGATGCCGGCCGAAAGGAAGTACGAGCCAAAAGCGTTTTCAACTTCCAGTCGGCAATTCAAAAGGCCTACAAAGATTCATCCCAGTGGTGCTGCCACCTACTGCGTCCTCCCGCGTCGTCAATAAAGGGCGGAAGAGAGCACAGATAGGTGGGGCAGGGCTCCGTAGGTCATTCAAAAGGAGTTAAAACTGGTAAGTCAATGCCAGTAAATGTATTTGAGGGCAGAAGAGTATGTAATTCGTAAACACGAACTTAAGCGGTGGTAGTTAGCCGCAAACTGGAATCAAAATTCCGCCTCACGCGTGGACAGGTAAACGCCCATGGGTAAAATAGAGGTTCCTTTCTCGGAAAACCCAAACAGAAAAATCTTGCGTGGCAGACGCACATAGACGGGCTGTCTATTTCTGCTATTTGCTACTTGCTATCAGAGCAAGGCAGGTGAGGGAGGAGTGCGATAAGTGTGCCGCGCAAGTTTGTCTCACTACAAACTAATTCTGGAGGTAAATCAACCCTGCTGCGCCCACTCCGTGCGGTGGATGGTGGACGGCGTTGTTCGCCAAAGTTACTACGTGCACAGGAACCAGACTTCAACATCTCAGATAACGGGTAGGTGGGACTGCCAATGAAAGGTACGCTGATGGCTGTACTGAAGCCTTGCCCTCACTGTCAAGAGTTCAAAGAGTCTCACCAAGACTGCCGAGTTTCCCACAATTGGGTCTGATGACTCATTCGACAGTACGAACGTCGATTTCGACGATGTCCAACACAAGTTTCAGATAGCTGAAGGCGAACGCAGTGACTTACGGAGAATCCACCCACTCTCTAACCATCACCTCACCGGAACAGACGTCAAGACAAAAGTCAAGAAGACCGGAGATGGGGGAGGGCGCAGGTGGCTGGCGCGACCAACACTCAACACGCGTACCAACAGCATACCTCGCTAGGTACGCTTCCGCCTAGGAACGCCATAAAGACCACATTAAGAAGGAGCCATTGAGCCTGACTCTCAGCCCGCAGTTAACCACTCGGCACAAAAAGGCACACTGGACCGACTGCGGTGTGATGACTCATTCACATCCGCCAAGAAACACCCATTAACTTTAAGAAGCGCTTTGACAGTTCCACAAGTTGTGTTCATGGTTAGGAAATACGACAGCCAACAGGCACAGAGGTTCTCAGCCGACTGCGCTCTTTTATATGATTCTGTTTGTTGTGTAAAAGAGATGAAAACGACGAGCAAGAAGGTGGACAAACCAAGAGAGAAGAAAGCTCAGTAACTTGAGGATATGATAGCTGGCGTTCATTATGGAAAACAGGCGGTAGTATTGTCGAGTAATTACTGAGATTATGGCTCAAATGATACGCGTGTGACTGTTCGACCACCGCTTTCGATTAAGTCAACCACGTGCTCAGGAGCAGGGAGGGTGACAGCAGCAGGGAGAGATTTAAGTGCGGTGACCCGCAGCCGTCTTCCACACTTTGAACCCTCAATCCGCATGAACCAGTGACAAGACAGAGTCAAGATTACCGGGTGGGATCAGGCATAGACCGCTTTTTCCAATGCAGGCCAGAACACCGCTTAACTTAGTGTTAAGCGACGGAAGACTTTCGCACTGATGCTACCACAGTCCTATCCTCACTCATCTTCAGCTGATCTAACGACAGACTCAAGAAGACCGAGCCTGATACTATTACCATTAATATTTCTACTACTACTTATAAGCGATGAAACTGAATGATAGTAGTACTTATGCTAGTACTGAAGCTACTGTTAATTGGTGACACAGATTAACTTAATTGCTGGGGCTCATATCACCTCGATCTCAACAAGGAAGGTGAATCGGAGTTTATGCTATTCCGTTTAAATACATGGTTGGGTCCCGGAGCATAGCAGGGCTTGCATTGATTTCCGCCCTCTTACCTCCATTCGCCAAAAACTGTCAGTTGCTACTAATTTTGCACTACCAAGACTAGGATACTGCTGCTACGCGTGAACTGTTTTACTGAATAGCAGATTCTTATGACAATTTTTCAGGATAGTGTCGGCTTCTTACTAAATCTTTAATAAGTTC